TGGACTTTTTGCTGACACCAGGATTGAAAAGTTGATGTTTTATGGATTTGCTTATAGATAACGGATAGGATATGGGATGAAGAGATATCTGTTTGTAACCTTATAGGGGATGAAGAGTTATTAAATTTGCTTATACTTGTTACGATGAAAGTTGGAAGTCACTTCTTTATATATTTCTTTTTTCTTTATTATATTCTTTATTTTTCTTCTTTCTATTTCTTTTTTCCTGCACTTTTTATTCTTTTTTTCCATTTTTCTCTTTTTTAAGTTTAGTGTGTATTAGTTTTTACTATTATACTTAGAATCCTTAATAAAAACTATGCTCTGCTCAGATCTTTGTGTGGTTCTTACAGAAGGGCAAAATTTACTGATCACAGAATTTCTTATTGTCTCTCTATGGGGCCTCTTCCTTAGAATCTCCCTGGTGAGGATTATTCTTCACCCTCTGCCCTAATCCAAAAATCATTCCCCCACCCAGCTGGCATGATCTCAAAATTCCTGCTGTTAATGTGTGTACTCCCAAAAAAGTGTGCTCAGCAATTCAGTTCATGACTATCCAGGCTATGACTATCCAAATGGTCTTAGGTAGTTAGGATCATTCTCATAATACAATTAATGGGCCTTATCAGCTGAATGGTATCAAATAATTTTTATCTAGCCTTCAGAGCTTCTTTTCCTCAGCTCATTCTCAGCTTCTACACAGTATTCCTCTTTTTCCCCAGCTAATATAAAAAACAGCAAGTGGTCAATGCTTGGGGCCTCATTTGGATCAGGTATATGGTGTATATATAAGAATAGAAGGAGGAGGACTTTAACCTTTTCTCCCCTTTAAGGTCATGATTTAGACGAGAGGGGGAGATACATGTGCAATTTACATTAGGAAATAAAACTATCTGCTCCAATTAGTGCTTTTTATCCCATCTAAAGCGCAAATATTTGCACTGATTTGGATGGGAACAACAGTGAAATGCATAGGGTTAAATCCCCCTACAGCTGCATGCCAGGGTTCTTATTTGGACTGGACCCACGATACTTGCAATTTCCTTTGGAAGAAGTATTCCATTTAATGAATGGGAAATTGTTTTCTAATGTAAATTGCCCAAGCATGACAGGTATAAATGACACACAGTTTTAACACTATGAATGTCTAGTTGATTTTTGAGCTAAAGCTTGGATTAGTTTGACAGTCAAGCAATGTACTCCAACAGCAATGAATGTGTGCCTGAACTATTATTATAAATAATATAGTAAAACAACAATACCTCTTTGTCTTGAATATTTGGATCTGCATTATTTTCCAATAGCACCACCATACAATTAATGTAGCCTCCATAAGCAGCACACTGTAATGGAGTTCTACCTGCATAATCCTGTACATTAGGATTGATTTTATTTTCTATCAATATCTGGCAAACATCAGGGTTTCCTCCTAGAGCTGCCCAATGTAAGGGAGAGTGGCCGTCTTGGTCAACTAAATCAACTCTTGCTCCTCCTGCAACAATAATGTATGTTTCAGTTAATCCACGCAGTCTGCCTCAGTGGTTTATTAACAAATAAAAAGGGTGCATACTGGAGCTATGTGTAGTGCCCTTCCAACTCCCTTTCTCAAAATGTCAAGGTCCCACTTTCAAAGGCTTGACATGGTGGTTTTGAGGCGTGTTTGTGTGCAGAAGATTGCCAGTGAAGCTACTTACTGACAATCCCAATGGAAGTATCTTTTGTGCATGCACACAGAAGGCAGATACAACATCTGCAGTCAAATTTATCTTCCTCTTCCCACATTAAAAAATGGCATCCTGGTCACAGAGCTGCCATGTTCTGGTGCAATATAAATCTTTACATTTATTTTTCCTTCACTGCTCCTCACTCCAACCCAATGAATTAACCATTTGCAGTTTGAGAAATAAGTTGATAATGAAGATACAACTGTATTACAATCAGAGATCAGAAACAAACCAGTTCAGCAAACAATAGGGGCTTTATTACACTTCCCATATAGAAATGCTGATGTTAAACCTGGCTGTAAAGAAGAATCTTTGTTGAAATGGCAAAGTGACTGATGTAATTTAACTAGCCACTTGTCATCTAGGATGTTTCATTCATTCTTGGTTGGGATCTGTGATCAGACTAGTCTTATTCTGATATTTAATGTGCCTTTCTTTGATTATTTTCTTAGCCTGAGTACATTCTAAGAGATATAAAATCTAGAGAAGTCACATAATAAACAGTTTTCCCAAAACTGCTTGGGACCATGAAGATTGAAACTGAATAGATAGCAAGTATAGATGATGTATAATTAGGTTTCAAAACCAGTCAACTGAAAATCTGGCAATCTAAAAATTCCATCCACATTCCAAATGATTAATTTCAATTTATAATAACAATACTAATAACTCCGAGGTCAGACTGGCCCTGACCTTGCTGGTCTTCCAGAAGGGCTGGAAGACCTGGCTTTGCCATCTGGCCCAGGAATCAGAGAGTGGTGTGGAGCCTATAAAATGGCTGTTCTCTTCTTGACCGTCTGTCCTCTCCTGGTGACTGTATTGTATGGCTTTTAATTGTGTAATTGCTTTTAATGTTTATATTGTTTGTATGCCTGTTGTTTTTTATTTTTATTTTGGTAGTGCTTATGTTTTAATTGTAAGTCGCCCAGAGTTACAAATGTGAGATGGGCAGCTATATAAATTGAATAAGTACAAATAATACAAATAATATAGAATGTTTATATTACTGAAAAACAGAATTTGCTCCTATGTCTGAGAATGCCTATCAGCATTGGTCTATTTTCTTCTACAAAGGTAAGTTACTAATTCTTATGCCATGCTTAAACTTCCTCCAAAATTCTAAATTTTCAGGAACAGGACCCTTTAAATACATCTGAAAGATTTTAAAAAAAGGTTGGTTAAAAATGTTGTTTTTGCCACTATCAGTCAATGCATATCGTTCACAATATTGTCTATCATTACTGTTTGTTCAATTCAAAAGCTAAAGACAGCTATGTGTTTATGAAGAAATTCAGGCAGCTGACCTTTAATGAGAGTCTGTATCACCTCTTTATGTCCCATCTCACAAGCACGGAAAAGAGGAGTGTGTTTCATTACGTCAGCAGAATCTATCTGGGCATCATGTTTTAAAAGCAATTGCACAGTGCTGACATGGCCAGAAAGGGCAGCAGCATGTAATGCTGAAAGATGTCAAAGAGAATGAAGTTATTAAACACCATTTAATTAAAAAGTGAATATAGCAAAACCTAAACCAGACACTAAGATGAGGGATTGGCATTTACCTGCAGGTGCGCTGGACATCAATCTCTCCATTTATTTATTTTGTCATTTGTCTCAAGTTTGCTTCATTCAGTTGCATCTTATCATTTACACCCATGTTTATTAAGTTTATACAAACTAAACACATGTATGCAAGATCTGTGATATAAATCTAGGAGATCAAAGTAAATCTGACACCATCACTGAAATCAGCAATTTTGTTAAAGAATAATGAAAATAAAATAACAAGGGAATTCAAATCACATATCCAACAAACATTAAATAAATATATGAAAAGGTAATGGGTAGTTTAAAAAACCCAACTTCAATTACAAAACGTGTGTGTATAGAAGTAACTAAGAGATAATGGTGATTTGGAAATGAATTTAACCGATAAAGCATTCTGCTCTTCCAGCAGGTGGCAGCACCTAGCCAACCTTGGCTCATCTTGAAAATGCTAAACAGGATTGGATCTGGTCAATACTTGGAATGGAGACCACCAGGAAATCCCAAGATTGTAGACAGACTAGGAAGTTGGAAAAAAAACACAGAAGAAAGTAATGGGAAACCACTTCCCTAATTTTGCCCAGAAAATGGCATGGATGTGTTTATGAAGTTACCAGTAGTTGAGATCAACTTGCAGGAGCATTCTAGCAAGCTAAGAGCTTCCATTTTTAAATCAACTGGGGGTGTGGCCTCCACCATAATTGGCC